GGAGGGTGTCGCACACGGAGTAACATGGGCGGGAGGGTGTCGCACACGGAGTAACATGGGCGGGAGGGTGTCGCACACAGAGTAACATGGACTGCGAGCTGGCATAAATAGACACACAAGGTTCTCGCTCTCTCTTCATCTGTTCCTCACCATGTTCTTTAATCAGGCACTATTGGAGGTGGTATTCAGATTGTACCATCCCTTGTGCTGGGTAACCTCAGAGAATCTGTGTTGGTGCCTGGAGCTCAGCACCGAATCTGAATGGGAAGGTGTTTCTGACTGCCTTCAGGATTGATGGAGAATGAGAAAGTGGAGACTGTCCAATACCCAGAGAAGTAGGGGTCGGGGATGGGGGTTCAATCTGTAAAACTCCCCTGCTCCAACCTCACAATGAGAGTATTGGGTCACAGTGGGCTCTCAAACTCTCTGTTGACATCACAAGGGGTTTTGGGGGATTGGGTAGAAGTGTTTGGAGTACTATCGGATGGGGCTGGGGAATTAATTTGTTGTCCTCCATTGTCATTGTTAACCTTACGAAGCAGAAGGTCCTCTGTCCAAGCATTCTGTGACCCCTTGCGCCCAGCCACATCCCGACAGTGAGAGATTTCCGATTGTAATTTTGTTTTTGAACCTTTAAAGGCAGGACAACTAATTTAAAATGGATCCTCCCAAAAATCCCGGTGAGTTCATGTTTGAGTAGTGTTAGTGTTCGCATTAACTACCTGTTGAGGTAAAACTCCCATGGCCCACTCTCCCATGTTCTGTTCCTCTCTGATTGCTGTTCCCAACTTCCTCATCCCATCCCTCCCCTTCCCCGGTCAATACAGTCACACAGTGAATTGGAAATGAATTGCATTTGTGACGCACCTCTCACTTTCTCAGTATGTTCCAAAATACTTTACAGCCAATGGAAATGTTTGGAAGTGTAGTCTCTGTTGTGATGTGGGAGAGTTGGCAGTTAAGCTGTGCACAGCAAGCTCCCACAAACAGCAAAGCAATAATGACCAAATGATCCTTATTTTACGCATTTGGGTCAAAGATTAGTCAAGGCATGTACATACAAACTCACACATGTATACAAGCACATATGCACACAAACACACTGAATACACTCACACCAGCACATACACATGCACAAAGAGAAATGTGCACCCACGCACACATCAGCATATACACGTGCACAAAGAGAAATGTGCACACACGCACACATCAGCATATACACATGCACAAAGAGAAATGTGCACACACATGCACATCAGCTCATACCCAGACATTTGCACACATATACATGCACATTCACTCAAGAGACACATGCTCACCTGTATACACAAATACACATACACTCACATGCATACACACATGCTCAAGTGTATAAACACACACACACACACACAGTGTGTGTGTATACAGAAGCACACACGCACATTCTTGTGTCTTTACTCTTGCATTTTACGCATGCTCATGTACACACACAGTCACATGCATGAGTATACACATGTTCGAATATGTACACATACACAGGCTCATGTATGTGTGTACATACACGCACACTTGTATACATATGTTCTGTCATGTTCACGTGCACACATGCGCACACTTGTATACACACGTGCTTACTTGATTACACATATTCACACATACAGGTACACATAAAACTGGTCCTTCAACGTTAGCCTGTGAATTTCACAAACACCATTATGAAACTGATTTGTGTCCTTCCCAGATAACGCCCAGAGTATCGACCCGGGGGAAACATCCAGAATGCATTTCAATCTCCTCAGTGAGACCATCAATGCCACTAAAACCGGCCGGTCAACTATCTTTAAATCAGCGTAGGTACAGAGGAATGTTCAAGCAGAAGCGCTTCTCGTTGCAATCTAATGTCCCCACTTGCTGTACTAATCCCTCCAGCAGCAGAGTCGTAAGTGAAAAGCAACGCTTTAGACAAGTCTAGGTAGAATTTGAGTGTGTTGTAACCCCAGTCATTTTACAGTTATGTCCCTGAGACAGAGGGGACTGAGAGACACCAGTCAGTGTACAGATACTTCCCTGAAAGAGGGAGGACTGAGAATATCTCCCGGATTCAGAGAGATGACTGAGAGACACCAGTCAGTGTACAGATA